AAGCATAGAATTTTGTTTCACTGACATCAGCTTCTAAGTAACAGGCACTGCTTGTTACCATCAACTTCAAAAGCACCATTCTTGCTGTATTTTTTTTTTCTTTCATAATTTTTTGTCTACCTAACCACTCTTCTTGACACCAAGGGGTGCTTTTGATTTAAAACAAAAGGCCATTTCTCTAATCTGTGTCTCTGTGGTTTCATACCCTGAAGGGCAAGTCTTTCTTTCCCACCACCATGGAGCCATACTTCCACAGCCCTTCTCCTGGACATCACTGCTGGGGTCCAGAGAACCAGGCTGACCCAGAAGAACCCTCAGGATCATGTGCCTTTATGAAAGAAAGGTGTGCAGGAGTGAAGAGCAAAGGGAAGGGACCACTGGCACACCTGAGCTGCAAGGTGAGAGCGTTTCGCATGCCTCGTGTGCACCTCACAGTGAACTGCCTGAGCTGCTAACAGAAGTGGGAATGGTGGCTCAGTTGCTCACGGCGTGGGGAAAAACAGCCCACTGGTCTCAGGGTCGCTGAACCAAAATAGCTCCATGGTCAAAGGGGTTAGTGCTGAGGAGGCAGCAGTCCCTGCTGCTGGCACCAGCAAAGCCCTCCCTGGTGTGCTCAAGGGCTCGGAGGCTGCAGCTCTGGCACAACAGCACACAACCAGGAATCGCAGGAGTCCTGAGGGTTTCAGGGCCCCAATTTTTGACCGCTCACCATAAATCGCTTCAAGAGTCAGCTCACCAGTGACCCTCCCACGGGAGCTCATAAGCGTTTGCGTTTCAGCTCTCCCAGAAGTTCTCATCCAGTTTTGAGAATCCTGTCCCCTGTCTTTCCTTGCTGCAGACCCAACGTATTAGCAACTGCAGGAGAGCTGCAAAACTCCCCTTGACTCCAGCCTGCTCTAGACAAGCACCCGCTAGGACATGAGACCCTTCAGGGCCTGCGCGCATTAAGCTGCAGAATGATGATATTTGCCAAAAGGCCACATCAGGAGCTGGAGGGCTTTGTAGCTCATACGTATTTGACCAAGCCAAGCAGCCCCTTAGCAATACCACAGATAAAAGGTGTATACAGCAACGCATATCTCATCTCTGCTGCACTTCTGTGCACAGACATTCCAATTCAGATCCAAGTCAGAGTTGCTGGTTTTAACATTAAACTGCACTTTTAAAACCCTAAATTCGGCTGCTCTCCAACCACAATACCACAGGGGTCGCATCACCCTGACCTGGATGGAATGAGTCGGGAAGAAGGCACAGGAGGCCCAGTACGGTCCACGAATCAAGAACATGGGGGCAGGCACAGTGTGATAAAAGTTGTAGGAGCAGGATGGTTTTTGTAGACTACGCATCCCTTTAACCTCCTGAGCTCTTCTGGTGTTTGTTGCATTGTCTTCCTGCCTCCTTCCAATGCAGCCCCAACTTCCAGGGTAAGCTTTCGTGGAAGGGGCATCACTTAGTACTGAAGCCAGTCTTCTCATAGCTGAGGCTCTGAATCGCCTTACTTTTCTGTCCCTGCATATAAAACTGCTAGGGAAATGCCTACATATGAGAAAGCAAGCGAGAGCAGTAAGGATCAAACTCTGGCTGTGAGACTGCACAAACAGAAAAAGGGGACTGTAAAAAACCCCCTGTCATTTACAGTAACACCACCACAATTTGCATGTACAAATGCTTGTTCACACAAAGAGAGGGGAGGCATTAGGGTGGAGAAACAGCATCAAACGTTTCTACCAAGTTTAGAAATGCAAGCCTGTTAAGGCTTCTGCACTTGCAAAAGTGGCCAGCAACTCAGGCCATCCTGGGAAGATCTCTTTCCAGTACAAGAGGAAGCACAGCCTCGACCACTTCTACCTGCCATTTTGGTCACAAAATTAACTGTACATTCGGCTGCTAGAACTAGCCCATGCACCAGGGCTCGGCAGCCTACTACCTCGCACAGCACGGTACAACCCAAGCACAGCAGTGAGGGGGGGAAATTCAGCAGCCTGTGACAGTGCTTTGTTCCATGGAACAACAGACTGTCGCTGCAGGCTCAGATTAATCACTTCCCTCCAACCCAGACACCTGGAAACCAAGCACTAAGCTTTTCCCAAGTGTTTGAAGTGCCAGCCTTCACTGGTATGACAAAGCAGGGCTGGATCTCGTGGGGAGTCCTAAGTAACCCCTGCACCTTCCCCGGAGACCACTGCCTGCTGCAGCCCTTGTCCGGGGGGATAGCTTGGGGCCAGTGGTTATTCTGGTGTTTGAGGCATCTCAGATCTTGCAGACGTACCAGTTTTACCCTTCCCTATGTCTGCTAAAGCTGGGCAATGCCTTTGCTTCTTAGAGCAGCCCAGACAGCCTGCCAGAGCAACCTTCCTTCAGCTGATACATCAACAGCCATTGCCAGCCATCAGCTTTAACTGTGAGACAGCGGATTGCCATCTAAGATGCACCCCTGCCACCCAAACAAAGAAAAAGATGTCAGAAAGATCACAGATTGGGGCACTGCACAGATCTCAAGCAGCTAGATGTTGCAGAACACAGGGGAAGGTGAGAGCCATCAGCATTTTTTGCTAGTTTTGCCTCGAGGGAGCAAGAAATTAATTTTCAGGAGGGGCCAGAAGCACTGCTGGACATAGAGCACATGCACTCATTGCGAATGGATGCACGAGCCCTTCCACATAACCTAGCACAGCGCTGGAGGCTGGAGAAAAGGCCCATCCAGCTGCTCAGATCGCTGTCTCCTCACACCTTGGGCGAGGTGCCCAGTGTCGATGAGAGGTACAACAGTCTTGGGTCCTCAGGGCATTTCTCTGAACACCCGCTCCCTACTCTGCAGGTGGTACAGGGGCAGGGTGGGGGGGTTCTATTGAAATGAAAAAAGGAAAAGCTATGTCAAGTAGCAACTGGAGATCCCTGGCAGGAACAGGTGTATCACAGATATAACACATTGCAATGGGGAGAAGGGGCAGTGGCTCCATATTCCTTGCTCTACTCCCAGTTGTATTAGCAGGCAAAGTGAAACTGTGTCGTGACAAGTACATTCGCAAAGTAGAAAACAGGAAGCACTTGGGTAATTATTTAAAAAGCAGTTTTACTTTGAATGCAAACTATTAAATTACTCTTCTGTCTTTACATTCCTTTTACCTCAGTTAACTCCTGTGTCTCTTTCTGCTGTAAAAGTCATAGAAAATCTTACTGTCACGTGCAAATCATGTCCCCATTTGAGAAGCGACTGAGCAGTTCCCGTTAAAATCAACTGAAACACAGAGCTGTGCCTTAAGCAAACTTACCAAAAACTCGTCTACAAACTCTTCTCGGTTGAGCTTCTTGCCTTCGGCCCTTTCCAGGTTTTGCAGCAGAATCTCCCTTTGGTCCATGTTGCCGGAGACTGAGCGTGACTGGCCTGCCGAACCTGGGAACGGACATGTCAAGTGCGTGCTACAGCGGAAAGCACTAGCCTGGAGAGCACTCGCGGCAGGCTGTGGTTTACTGACTTCATCACAAGTCTTAAAGGAAATTAGTACGCAACAGATATTGCGGTCAAATAACAAAACAAAACACACAACCTGGGGCCCTAGCACCTCCTTTTAAAACCACACACACTTCACGTGCACTGCACGGCAACGGTAGGCAGCGCTGGGCTGGGCAGAAGCCTCGCGGCAGGAGCAGAGCTGCCCCGCGTCCCTCCAGCATGCCCAGCTCTTTCCCCAGCACTGTGCCACGAAGGTGGTCGGGTGTTGGAGACCTGGAGACCAGAGCCAAGCACATCGACACCCGACTTCTTTAAGCACCATGTCCAGCCACCACCAGCAGCATGGCCCTGCCAGGCCACGGTCCAGAGGGGCAAGCATGGCGGGCAGCAGCTGAGCCACGCATGCCCACGGGCGGCTGCATTTCACTGCCGGGCAATCGGGGCGAAGGCTTCAGTCTCGGAATGTGCTGCAACTATAGGAGTCCCTAAACCGGTGTGCAAAATCCACAGTCCCCCTTCACACTTAGAACTTTGCCTGTTTTCCACATTAACTGCAAAATATTTTGAAGGAATACTTCAGGCAGATGCTGAGCACCTGAACCTGGCTTGCACATGTTACTCCCCTGAACTGCGTGACTGCTTCTGAACAGAGAAAACCTATCAACATGCTTCAGGTCAACTCTTCCAGCCACAATTCCCCACATCTGGCAGCTTGTGCAAAAAGAGAGCATCAAATCTGACTCCAGTAGACTATAGAAATCAAATTACTTATGCCAGCCTAATTCACCTCACTCACTCTCGTTAACACTCACAGGTACTCTAAAAAAACCCCATAGGACAAAGTGGAGGTCATTCCGAAGTGGGAAGAAGATGCAGAGAGCAAAGTTCTCGAAGGACATCCACTTCCTCTACTTGCAGAACTGGGGAAAAAACTAAACTAATCAAAACTAAAAACCACCCCCCAAAAAAACAAAAAAAAGGTATGGGAGTCACTACCTTGATCTATCCAATATCTCACATTTTGCACAAAGACTTCAGATTAGCTGTGCCAAGTCTGTTTCTCTTTCTGATTGTAACTAGAGTCATTAAATGTATTCCCCTCTTGTGTTTTCTTGCAGATCAGGTACAGAATAGCTACAAGATTTCTGTATCCAGTTTCTAAAAGGCAAAGGGCTGCTGATCACTCTGAAAGAGCCATCACTTGCAGATTAAAATAATGTCAAATGTTAATTTTTAAAAAATAAGCCTTTGAATCATGTGAGAGGAACCAAGAGATCTTTAGAATAACTAATGGAAACATGTTTTAAAACATTCACCTGATGAGTCTGCAGCACTAACCTAGAAACCTTGAATAAGAGTGAAGCCTGCTTTTATGGCTATATTTAAGAGAAACACAAGAAGAAAAACGAATTAGTAACAACAAACATTTATTCATTTTTGCTTGTGGTGATACAGAATCTCTTTTACATATTGCTTATGTGTAGAACTCTGCTTGCAGTCTCCAGAAGAAGTACAACAGCATTTTTCCAGTTAAATCAATGACAAGCCCAGCTTCACCTTCTGGAAAGTAGTATAGCCCTTTCTCTCAATTGTCCAAGTTCTCCTGAAAACAAACAAAAAACCCCATGTGTATGTGTTTTAGAGAAAGAATTCAAGGCAGGTTTAAAGGAAACAGCAGGAAGAGAAGGACATGGGATGGAGGGATGAATGACCTGCCTCCTGCTGTGACCTTCTCCTGGACCAATTTTTTCCCTTCCCTGGGTAAAACGCACCAAGTGGGGTTTGTAAAGCTGCATGAGCAGGACAGTGCTTTTTGTATGGCCCATCCTTCATTACCTTGATTCTCATCTAAGGGAGCAAGCTGAGCTTCCAAGATACTGAGATAAGGAATTGAACCCTGAGACAGAGAAGCAGATGGGACTTTTGACACTGACTCCAGTAAGACTTCACTGAGGTGTTGAGCAAAGCCATGCCCCCACGGCTATACGCAGAGTTAGCTGGTGCGCGTGTCTTGCAGGACACGCTGGGTATCGGTGACGAGCCATATGAGGCAGGTGGGAGAGGTGAGAGACACAAAGGAAGAGCCATAAATGCCCAGGCAAACATCACCACCACCTTCACACCCTTACCCATCCGCCGCAGGCCTCAATGTATTTTCTCACTCGAAAATTTCCATTAATCACTTTTATGAGTTGGTTGGGATGCACCATAGCTGGGACTTTCTTAGCAACATACATTAGCAATTTCACAGATACACGGAGAAAGACTCTCTCATAGACCATCTCAGGGTTCTGGTCACTCCAGCTCCTGCTGAGGGAGTCCACAGCAGCCCCAAACTTCTCCATCTGGAAGCATCGAGAGGACAGTTTGAGCTTCTTTTTAAATGACAGCATGATAAGTACGTCTTGGCTCAAAATCCAACATTGAGTTCAATTCCTGCATTTGCTTCTTCTACCCACGACTAGAGCAGGTGACCCCACACAGCATAGGACATTCAAGGCAGGGCTGTCCTTTACCGTGGCTTGTACAAGCCGCAGCACAGTTGAAGGACTGGGGAGGACAGCCGGTAGCCTAACCAGAACTGCAACGAACACGAAGCTAGAGCTGCCTGCAGCACTTGCGCTGGAAGTGTGCTGGCACGAGAGCTCTGGCTGCAGGGCAGGCTGGAGCCAGATCGTCTGCAGCAGGCTGGAGAACCCGCTCTGTTCCTCTCGCCACAGTCTTCCTCCTTTCCCCCCTCCACACACTAGCTGCCCCCACCAACTCCAGAGCATCTCCTGTGACCATGGGCCAGCACAGGCAGCTCCAGGGCTTCTCGGGTGATAAAAAGCAGCTCCTTTGGAAGAGAGGAGGAGAAAGGGCAGGTCCCACTGCGCCTTGTCTGGCTTCTGTCCCGGTGGCTTGTGTGCTGCCCACGACACAGAAATGAAGGGATGCTGTGGGGTATCGTGCCCCTTCCCCTCAGATCCCCCCCGACTCCTGCAGCATAAGCTGTGCTGCTCCCCAGTTTTTTCCCATTCTCTGACACAAGGTGAGACAAGGCTGGCCTACAGACCAGAAGCTGGCCAGGCCAGGCAGGACAAGCTGCGCCTTACCTTTCCCTTGAGCACTTCAGCAAGAGCCTCCGAGGAAACCCTTTCAAAATCCATGTTGCACTGGTCCCCCATCTGCCGCAGACGACTGGCGACCACAACCGGGTCAAACCTGGTTTGAGGCTCTCCTGCCAACTGCATAGGCTCTAGAGCAGAGAGAGCAAGGTGAGGGCTTTCAGCATAATGCATTAAAGGCAGAGAAAGAGAACCCACACTTGACAGCCCAGCCCCTTTAGCTGCCTACTGCCTCCAAAACGCTGCCTTCGGCAGGCACTATGGTAGTTACTGCCTCAAGCACTCGGGAGGTTAATGCAGGGTAGACCTCTGACAAGACATATTAGGAAACGTAAAACCAAAGTCCCTAAGAGATATCATACAGCTGTTCACGTATCCATTGATTTACAGGGACCAAGAGGCTCTGTGCCATGGGTTTGTCCAGATCTCCTTCCTCCCACCTCTGCTGCTTCGTGCTCAAGTCTCAGTTCATTCCCACTCCTGTTTCTCCATGGACATCCCTAACGCCTCTCTTTCACCCCTCTGGGTTCTGGCAGCTCCTTCCTCCCAGGCTGCCAGAAGCAAGCAAGGCAAGTCAGCAGAGTTGGAGAACATCTTATCTCTCTCTTCCAACTGCAGTCACACAGCAGCAGCAATCGGATGGCAAAGTCCTGCCTGCGTTCCCCCAGCATTTTGAGGCTGCAGATCATCGTGTGCAGTCTTCAGAGAGTTTAGATATTATACTCAAGGTCTCTTCTGAGCAAGCGCAAATTGCAACTTTTCAAAGTGTCATAGCGACTCAAATTTGGGAAGGTTTTCACAAAGGAGCAAAAGGCATACTTCAGAAATTTCAAGTATATAAAACCATTAAGTAATTTAGCTGAGAAGTTCTAAAGTGGGGGAGTGCCTCAGTTAAAGCATTTTCCCCTTAAAGCATCCTGAGGGGAAAAAAACCAACAGAGTATTATTTATTTTTTCTGAATATTACCAAAACAAGGTTCAGCCAGAAGGAGCTACCCAATGCTGAAAGTTTCAGCAAAACTATTTCCACGTTTGGCAAAGTTACAAGGAACTGAAAGCAGGATCTTTCGACATAAAGCGCTAGGCAACTTTATCTGGAGGCATCACTTCCTGATCCACCCCCCCTCCCTCATCCAGTCACTAATTCCAGTTCAGCTCGTCTCATTCGGGTGCTGGCACTTGGCGCCTGCAGCCCTGGGCAGAAGCCTGCGTCTCCTGGGGCTCTGGGGCAGTTTTAGAGTGCTGAGGACAGCACAGGCAGAGGCACAAGCGTCTAATCCAGGAGAGGGAAATGAGCAATATGCTAACGGAGACTTCTTCTTTAGGCAAAATGACGAACTTCCATGAACCTTTTGAGAACTGGACTTTGCTTGCTCTCTGGTGTCAGCAAGATCCCAGTGTCTCTTGGGACATTTTAACTACTTTGTTGCCAAGAAAATAACAGGAAAAGCAATATAAATATGGGTGAAATTCTGGGTTTCTTGCAGCATTGCCCAGCAAACCAAACTAGCCCAAATGATATTGGGCATTTGGGAAGCAAAGACCACATTCCGTCTTACACATTAAAGCAACTGTTTTTGTCCAATAAGAAATATGAGCTTTCTTTTTGATAGCGACAGTTAAAATGTGTCCCACCCCCTTGGTTTGGAGCAAGTCAGGACCTATGGACCTGCGCAGGGCCCAGCAGCCAGCAGCACCTTCCCTGCCGGCGCTGCCTGCTGCCGGCACCCACAGCCCCGTGGGGTGGAAAGCAGGGTGGCTGTCCTTCACATCCCCCATTGCCCGGCCCTGCCAAGGCAGACTGCTCCTGTGGGCTGCCCGGCATTCAGACAACTTGCTCTAACTTTTCTCCCAAAACAGATAGCTTGGAAGTCATCACAATCCTGCGTTTTAGGAAACCCAACCCCAAGCTACAGCCTCCTTCCTTTAAGTGTTCCATCCTCTATCATCTGCAGCAAAGAAACCATTTTTATCTCCCACAACAGGCCTTACCCTCTGAGTCTGTCTCCAGGCTCCGGCACTGACTCTCATCTTCACTTAGGAGGTCAGAGAACAAGGCTTCCACAACACATGCTGTCTGCTCCTCAAAGGTTGCCATTGCAGCATGTCTCCCCACCGCAGAGTGGGCAGGGACACCACCGCAGCTGCTTTTATGTGCGGGTGAGCTTTGCCTCTGGATTTTGGCTTCCTTTTCCCAAAGCTGCACAGGTTCTTCCTTCTGGGAAGAGTATGGCCCCAGCCTCCTCCCTGGGACAGCGCAACACACCAATATTTGCTCTAACTCTCGTCATTCAAGCTATGGGTGTGGTTTAGTTTCAAAGTAAGTCGTTTCTGTTAAGATCAACTGAAATAAGTATTTACAAGTTATCAAAGACTGCTGACCTGTTCATTCATTAAGAAAGGGGTCTGGATAAAAGGCTAGAAGCTCCAAGTCCCATCCCAAGCAAAGACCAGGCTTGGTCTAGCCACAGCAGAGTAAATCATAGCTTGCCAACAAGCTACCAACTATTTTTTTTCTGAAAACTGCATAATCCCAATGCTCCAATGCAGCTCTCCATAAGGACAGGAATACAGCATATGCATAACGACACTGGAGACTGTTAATAGGAGCCCTGCTACAACTGACTTCTTACCTACCTTTGCATTCACCTGTAGGTAGTTTACCTGTTACAGTAATTTGGCATATGAGACTGAAATTAATTATTGCATGATTGCTCCTTAAAGCTTTGCTTCAAGGAAGTTGGGAGAGAAAAGCCCTGTCTGACACAAAGCCAGGAACTGGACTGCAGTCCGTCCAGATCCACAGTAGTGATCGGATAACTCCATCCCACAGACTTAAGAGTTGAATGAACAAGTACTCCAGAAAACAGGCACGAATGATTCACATTTTTATTAGGAAAATCAGAAATAAAATCTAAAGCCTGTTGTTTAACAGTGACAGCAGTGTTTCAGTGAAGTGCATGGAAGGCATATTGCAATTTAAAGGCACAATACAGTCATTAAAAGAAATTAAAAATTAAAAGAAATTAAAAATTAAAAGAAATCTTACAGAATAGAGTTAACAAAGCTACTCCTTACAAGAGTGCCATAAAGCCCGGTTATAGTAACCTATGTACCGCAACCTTAAGCCAAAGAACCTTCTTCAGGGTTTTGCCACTGTGTAAAACGTGGCTGTGACACAGAAATTCCTCATGACACTGTACAAAGTCTGACTCTCCCTAACTTTCAATAGAGCAGATGGAGTGCTGTTACCACACTCTTCAAAAAACAAATCCCGAGGCTGGCCAGAGTATAACTTTAAAAACTGTAAAAATTTAGCCACACAGTTACTGCACCATCTCATATACTGTACGGTGAGGACAGGATGACAGTACTGCACAGAAATAAGTACTACACAGAAAACAAACCTTTAAATGCCCATTCTAGTTATGAAATAACAAATAGTAAAAATTAGTATCAGCCAAAATTTAATATTCCATACAGGTTAATTATCTAAACAGCAATTCTTCCGTTACTGGTGTGAGTACCAAGGACTGAGAGCTCACTGACATGGCCAAAGTGATGCAGGCTACAAAACTCAGGCCATATTAACTCACGCAAACACATCATACACAACCTGCACACTCCTGCATTTCCTTACAGGCACCCTGGCCACAGGGAGTTGAGGGGGGAACTTCAGAGAGGGTAATTCATGACTACAGTAACACATTTCAACTATAAAATACACTTCTTTCTCTTGAAAAAGAAACATGCCGGTTCCAGTAAGCACAACGTACCCTGTCCACCCGTCTCCGACGGAGCAGAGCTCCATTCACCCGTAAGTGAAGCCACTAATGAAATCTGTCTATCAGACAGAAAAATAAATCACATGTAAAGGGAGCCAAGAACTAAATACTTCTCTTCACTGCACCATTCCTCTTAATGTGAGATAAGTAGCAGAGTCCTGGAGTTTCTGAACTTTTATGAATTATTTACAACTCTCACAAAAAACCTCTCCAACACACATCCCTGAATTTTGCTCATTTCTGGTTCCATCAGTAATGTTAGTGTCTTGTGATAATCACTGTAGATGCCACCACTTCTGTGACTCACACCAGAAGCAGCAGGCTCACAAATGCATTACCTTGTCCCTTCCCCAGCCCAGAGGGAGGACAGACCCTTCACCCTGCCCCATTCACCAGCTGCAGCAATGCCATACCTGCCACCTGCAGCTACCCCCACACCACGTGTGCCTTCCAGGCCCAGGAAAGGGATGCTAACACTCCCACAGTTTAAAAGTACAAAACCAGCATCAGGTATGGCAAATGAAGCCAGAGAAATAAACTTTTCCTGTGCCCTGAGCAAGCATCCTACAGGGAGCAGGGACCAATTAGGACCCGAGTCCGGCAACTGTCCCCATGACTGTCCTTAATGCCGAAACAAAGGTTTGCAGTGCCTCCGGCTTTGCCTCGCTCTGCTTCACTGAAACCTGCATCTCTGAATCTGCCGCCTCAAGCAAGAGCTCTGTTAGGAAGAGGCAACCTGTGTCATCCTGAGCACTGAGATAAGCTTTCCATGGCTGGACGCCAGCCTTGCTCATAGCAATAGTATGGATGTGGACAACATGAAGAGCCGTCTGTATGGTATCTGGATGAACAGTCCCACACCAGGGCAGAGAGAGGTGGCAGCTCATCTCCAGGCTCAGCCAGTTCTTCTCAAACTGTTCTGCAGTCAGGTAAACATCAGGAATTAAGGTCAGGCTGCTTGTATCGGGATGAACCTTGAGGACTTCTTTATTCCCTTCAGAAATCAGTGACTCTGAAATGAAACCACAAACATGTGAGATGTAGCATACAAGGTGCAGCTCCCAATTTCACGAAGAACATCTTATGAAGTCATCAGATGAAGAAGGCTGGAATCACAGCGCCTCCAGCAGCATCCCCTGGACTAGTGAGGTGGTGATCAGCCATGCATTGCACAAGGTAGTCAGAACACTAAGTCAGCATTCTCAAAGTACTGTGATCTTCTTCCAAAGAAACCCACATCTACCGGCAAGGGGAAAATGGATCCCAGGTGAAGGTGAGGCAGGTTACCTGTGTCTCTGTTCCTGGAGTCAGTACAAGGAGAACAAGTGTAAGACAGTTCTGCTGGCTGGTGAGCAGTCACAAGTGCCCAGCATTCTCTGCCATAAACTGGTGCAAGAGTGTTAAACTCTGAAGCCCATGTATTCACAGATCGCTCGGTTTGGTCTTCCAGGAGCCCCAGGGAGGGGTCAGACTTGGGGCTACACAGGACCCGTTTCACTTCTTCCACACCAGACTGCAAAAGGCGATAGTAGAACAATCCACGGTCTCGTACTGCCATATCCATCTCCTCCTCTGTGAATTAGAGAGAGACATAATTTATGGAGAATTCTATCATCCAGATTTCCCCGAAGTACTAACCCTTAATTACTAAAAACAGATTCTCAGGGATACAGTGTAAGCCTGTTACACTCACCAACCAGACAGCTAGGGGCCAAGTAGCAGCCTAAGGCATAAAGCCACCTTACCTTGCCATCCTGGATGGTCTCCTCACAGCTAGGATGCTGACACACAGCATCCATGCACTGGAGACACAGCCAAACCAGGTCCCAAAAAGCCTGTACTACAGCTTCAGTGAAACAGAATGAAGGGAACTCACCTATGCAGTAGTAGAGCAGTCTCCCTAGCATGTCCTGACACTCAGCAGGACGAGACAGGAAAAGTCGCACCAATGCTGTCAGAAGCTCCATCTTCACTGCTGGGAACATCTCTGATTTCACATTCTCCACAAAGTCCTCTAAAACATAGGGGGCATTTGGTACTTTCTCACCATGTGCGCCCAGGAGCCAGATCAGCGCTTGCTTGCCCTGAAGGAAACACAGAAAAAATAGCATATAGGTGCTGTTCACCAGAAAGACCGCATTGACGTGAAATAAACAGATTCAAGAGAACAAGTCCTCTGAAGATCTCTGATCTTTGCCCGCCAATCACCAGCCAAAGGAAAGCCAAACAGTCATTGCCCACCCATCCTCAACAGCTGCCAGCCCATGGCATAAAGGCACCTTACCTCACTGTCCTGGATGGTGTCCTCACAGCTAGGCAGTGCCCGACACACTGCATCCGTGCACTGGGGACACAGCCAAACCAGGTCCCGAAAAGCCTGTACTACCGCTGCAATGAAACAAAATGCTCAGCATTCCCCAAGAGTTATAAAACCACTGGTGGGGGGAGGGGAAATTCCAAAAAAAAACCCCACTCGAAACTTTGCAAATCTTAGCTAGGGAGGTCAGTGCCTTGCTTGTGACTGATTTGAGACACCCTTCTTCAAAGTCCCATGACACTGCGTTTGTCAGAGCAAAGCTGCACCAAGTCTAAAATAAAGCACTGAAACTTCAGATTGTTCCTCTGGCTGCTGGAAAGTAATCATTCTTCTGGACATTCCCCAGCCTTTAAAAAGACAGTGACTCATGATGCTTCAGACACACAAGGTTAGAATGACAAATTAAAACTAACACCAATTCAAAACGAGTCTCATGAACTTTAGGTCAAAATTTTAAGGGCTCTGCTGCCCACTTACAGAAACACCAGCGCTTCCGAGATCTAATTCAACAGCTGAGCGCAAGCATTTGATTTTCAAAACTGAAAGCAAGACCACTTAAAGGAGAGGGCAGAAACAGCAATGATATGCAGTTAGATCTGAGGGCAGCAAAAGAAAAAGAGAAGCCTGGGTACAACTGAATCAGACTATTATATGAGGAACAGAAATCACAAAGATTTAAAAGATCCATTAATCATCTTGGCCCTCAAACAGTCACTAAAATGGTCTGCGAGTCCCTCACTCCCTCGGAGGTGGCAGCCAGAAAGGAGTCTCCACATCAGACCATGAAGGCAGCTATGACCATCTCCCCGTTCACCACAAAGAGTAGTTCCTAAGGAAGGAAAAACTGTCCAGTCACACTATATACCCCCAACTCCACCAGGAAGACTTCCACCTGAAGTTGCCAATTAAATTAACAGCCAAGTGCTTCTGAGACCCTTGAGTTTGGGATCACAAGCCCCAGCAAGGCCAATTCCTGAAAGCATAAGCCAGGCAAACAACCTGCAGATGATTACCTGAAGTGATATGTTCCTGCTGAAGCCCCAGGAGCTCTGTCAGAATCCCCACACACTGTTCTGTGTATGTCCTAGCAATATTGCCTGCAGAGATGCCAAAGGACATAAAAGTCAACCTTTTAGCAGAGTGAAATATGAACCACGAGCCCAACTATTCATCACAAACTCACTTTAAAGAAACAGTCTTTCTCTTTTCCTTTTTGACTACTATTTCTGAAAGCATAGTCAAATGAACTTGTTCGCCACACAATGGATATGTTTCTTTTTCTGAAGCCATGCCTCAGAAGAATTCTGAACTTTTCTTAAATGTAACACATAAGAAAGGCATTTTAGCATCCCTGGCTTTCTTCTTATGTATACTATAGAAACGTACCTATTTTAAAGCTTACAAAACCAAAACTAAAGTGCCCCAAATCACCTTAACTCTGCCCCCATCACAACTCAAAAGAACAAGCAGGTATTAGAGCAGCTCCTCCATCCACTACGCAGTTTCATTCAATACTATAAGGCTCATTAATAAGATGAAATGACACAATTCCTTTAGAGCATCTCATCAGAGCACAGACATTTGAACGAGATTCAAGGACATTATGCGCAACCTGAAACAGTTCAATGCCAGGACTTCTGAAAGAATCAGCACAATCGTGGTTTAGAAACACACTCACACAAAACATTCCTGGGGAGGCTGCTCTATAGAAGGCTGTACTGCTTCAGGACAGATCAGTTATTTGGCATTTGGCCAGATAAACTTCAGCAGAGAAAGGCCCACCTTAAAGATCTAGGGCTGCAGCTGCTCCTGAGGCAGGACACAGCTCTTACCTATGGCGAAGATCGCCCCTTGGGCAAGCTCTACTGATACATCAGTGCAATAGCCCTTCAGCTCCTCCAGCACTTGCTGTACATTTTCATCATTTACCAGCTCACACAACACCTCCATCTTCTGGCATTTGATGTAGTGGGGCTCTGAATACAAACAGAAGAACTTTTTGTAGTGGCTGCTAAAATGGCCAGGAAGGCTACCAAGGATCTGACGTACATGGCACAGCGCAGTGAAGCAGAGCTCCCTGCTCTCAGAGGTGCAGGCAGACAGCAGCGGTCCCTTCACTCTCACCAAAACATCTGCCTGCACATGTGGGTACTCCCTGGCCAGCACTAGGAAAAGCTTGGTGGCTGCCATCACAACGCTGGGGCTGCTGCTTTTGAGATAGCCATCCAGTAAATTGAGTATGTCGAAGAGTTCCTCCTCGCTGCGGGGTTTGTAACGCAGAAGGAAGGTAAGCACCTCACTTTGCCCCCACTGATCCAGATCAGCCATCCTGCCAAGAGAATAAACACAGTTTGCAGGAGTCAAGAAGCGCACAAAGATCTGTGCTGGGCAGAGTAGAGGCCTTAGCCTCTGAGCTTCTTACGGTCTCTTTTCCAAACCAAATGCCATGCTTCAGAAGTAGATACCACAATTTTATCACAAGAGAATCGACCAGTGTATGCACATAGGCTTAACTCAGTTATCAGTCATGTGCACTTTTGCTGGTGCTCTAAGCCAGACAGCAACATTGACAAGAACCCTGGGCAGAGCAATACTCCTCTTTTGCCAGATCATGTAGAATTACCTGCAGAAAAGTTAATTTCTTCAAGCAATAGATGAGTTATATACCTTTCAACGGGTTGGGAGAGACATACTAGAACATACCTGTCCCATAAATATCATGTGTACCCACACCACCACCCCCCCAACCTAATCACATTAACCTACAATTGCAAAACAAACCACCAGCTGAAGCAAAGACTCCCTGGAAAAGCACGGCATCTCAGATTTCTCTTAAGACCTTAGCATAGAAGCAATTTAGTTTCTCTTAGGGTGGGCACTTCCACCTTTGGGTGCCTGACACCTCCCTTCGAGTTCTGACAGGAGCCCAGAAATACCCACTCTGGTAGCACACAAAACCCAAGAACAAGAATGAAGCGTCCAGCAGCACCTTAGTATCAAAGAAAACAAACCTGTTGAGGAGATGATGGGCAATGGGTTTGTTGATGACAACTCCTCCCTCCTTCTTCAAGATCTCTTCTAAGGCCCTCAGACAATTCACGACTACAATGGGATCCTGGTCACGAAGCAAACTGTACAGCTCATTCACTAACGCACCATCTGCGAAGAAGCAGAGGTCCTTATATCAAATTCTGTTGACACGCTGCCACTCAATCGCTGTCTGTAAGCATTTATCAGGAGCAAAAGGTACGGCTTGAACTGGGAGAAGCGCTCAACAAAACCGGCAGCTCTACAGCAACACCTGCCCTTGGCACAACTTTTCCCTGAAGGTCTGCAGGTGCGAGGACGGCAACCCGGCCGACCAGGGACTGCGGAAAAGCCGGGTGCTGCGGGAAGCCCTGCAAAAGCAGGTACGCAAGGGGAGCTCTGGCGTGGGACCTCCTTTCTCCGCTCACCGTCCTCCTCCTTCTCCCTCCCTCTCTCTCGCAGCCGCGGCAGCCCGGAGGCAGGGCACCGCGCCCGGGGCTGGCTCTTGGCAGCCGTGTGCCCCGGCCCCGGGGCGACCCCCGCCTGCAGCCCAGCGAGCGCTCCCCCGCGGAGGCCAGCCCTGCGCGGCCCGGCGCGAACCCCCCCCCTTACCCACTTCGGAGTCCCCCTGCAGTTGCAGCATCTTGGCGCAGCCGAGCACGGCCGCTCTCCGCACGTAGGAGGCCTTGTCCCGCAGGCCGCTGAGGAGGGGCTGCTGCAGGTACTCCTGGATGCCGGGCATCCTGCGGGCGGGCGGCCGGGCTTTAGCGGGCCGCCGCC